ATCTTTACCTTGTCATCTGGGCTCAGCCTGGTGTGGCACATCCTGCTCTGTGTATTGAGAGCCTAAGAGGCAGCTGCTGGCCCCGTATCCCGCAGCTCCTGCTGGCCCCGCGGGCTGCTCTGGACATGCCCCAGCCCCGAAGGGCTGCAGGCTCCTTCCAGCCACTTGAAGAGCAGAGGAGAGTAATGGCCTTCCTTGCAACAGGATTTATAACTGGTGCTTTGGGGATGAGCAGAGGGTTTCAGACCTGCCCGACTCTTGCCCTTGCTGCAAAGCGGTTTGGATCGGGCTGTTGGATCAGCTGCCCTGCGAGCTCCTGTCTACGCGGCTCCCTTGCACCCGGGTCAGATGGGGCTCGGTCCCTCTGCGAGGCTCTTGCTGCTGTTTGGTGCTCCAAGACTTCACTTCTGGGTCGTTTCCTCCCCATCTTTCTCCTCCAAGGGGGAACCTGGCTGTGGCAGAGCCGGTGTCCATGGAGGACTTGCAGGAGAAGGGGCTGGTGTGGGGGAAGCCAAGATGCCCGTGCCGCCCTGAGTGCAGCAGTTCAGGGCCTGCTCTCCCCTCTCCGATGAGCAGGGTACCGGCCTGGCATCTCGCCCCTCGGTGGCTCCTTCCCCCTACAGAAAGCGTGGATCGGGGGTCCCAGCCCAGCGCTGTCTTGCTCTGAGACTGCAGTTACCTGCCCTGCAGCCTTCGAGGGCTAAATTGCAGATCTAAAACCTGCTCCCTAGCAGAGCGAAGAGGAGACGGAGCGTGTGCTTGCAGATGTGGCACAGCCCAGGCCAGGCTGCGGTGGTCACGGGACCCTCAACAGCACCGGACCCTCAGCTGTTCCCTCCAGCCACTTGGGCACAGCATTTGGGGTGGCCGTGCTGCCAGGGACCTGCAGCTCTTTGCCCTGTGTGTCTCGCCACTTTCTGTCCACGGGTGAATGGCAGCTGCCACTGGGCATTGTGAGGCTGGTGTCGGAGATGGTGGGCACCCGGGGTTGTACCAGACTTTGGGTGCGGTAAGAAGTGGAAGGACCCGGTGATGGATGGAGCCGGGTGCTGAGGATGTGAATACTGATCCCCGGACCCCAGGCATGAAAGCAGCCTACAAGCCCAGTGCACGGGGGGGCTTGGGCTCGCCTCCCTCTTCCTATCTGCACCTCTTGCCTTGCTGGCCCGCCGGCTCTCCTCCTGACCTCCCCCAGTAGCCGGGCTCGGGGAACGAGGGGCCGCAGCATGAAACAACCAGGTCCTCGGAGCTGCTTACCCCCCGCAAGTGCGAGAGGATCAGGAGGAAAACCCTGGTCAGGACCAAGTTGCTCTCCCTTCCAGCCTCCGCTCTGCTGCTGTAGGGCACGAGACTGGGCAAGACGGACCTAGGTCGGACCCAGTCCATTGCAGGTCTTACGTGCTTATGAGCATGGCATGAAGGCAAAGCTCCTGCATTGCCCTCCTTCCCCCCTGGCAAACCCACGTCCTTTCTGCCCGGCGGTGCGAACTGGCGAAGCCAAGCGGATCGGCCGGCGGGAAGAGCCTGCCTCGGCGCGGGGGGGGGGATATGATTTTTACAGCCTGTTGCGGTCAAGCGAAGGTGCAATTTGCATAATGCTTGGAGGGGATTAGGTGGTTGAGGTTGCTGTGGCAACCGTGCGGGATGAATTGAGCTTTTCCTTGGCAGGCCGTGCCTGGTGGCACTCGGGGGACAGCCCTGCCGCTTTGGAGGGAGCCTCAATGACCCGGATCGTGCTGGCGGGAGGTGCAAGGCATGAGACCGTCCCCCCCCATCCCACATCCCGGCTCCCCTCCGCCTGGCCCCGGGTTGGTTGGACGTGCCGGGGGGCACCCCAGCATTAAAGTGTGCAAATAGTTGGAGGTGGCTCGATCTGATGGCCGCGGGAAAAAGTGCTCTGCACCCCCCACGGGGGTTTCTTTCTTTCCCAAAAGCAGGAGGAAAGTGGCTCTTTGCTGCCAGCCCCTGAGGTTGGTCCATGTCTGGAAGTTTGGGCAAAACATGGCTTTTTTCAAGGGGGTTGCGGGGAACTTCTCCCAGCAAAAGAGCACAGGCATCGTTTCTCCAGCACGGATGCAGCCTGCTCGAGCTTGGCGAATGCACGACGGGTCTGAAACTTTGCGTGGAGCTGACCCCATAAATATGCCGGGGGCTTTTGCTGCTCGCAGGGGCCGTTCTGGCTGCAACGAGCCATTGTTCCCGCGTCACGTGAGGACCCAGCACTGCAGGGTGGGTTACGGCGAGCCAGGCGGGAGAGGGGGGAAGCCAGCGGAGAAGTAATCACACGGAAAAGAGCAATACGTTTAGCGGCGGTCGCATCAAGAATTCAATAGGCTTCATTTGGAGGCATGCATTTTTAATGGTATTGTAGTTATATATAATTTGATCGATATGTCAATGCTAAAAGGGCCTCTAAAGAGGCTTACCTATCACGGAGCAATTGGGGAGGTCGGCGGTGCCCGTGCCACGTGGTCGGTACCCGCAGGGCTGCAGAGAAACGCCTGCCTCCTCCACGCCGGGTTCCTGTCGAGATGGCTGTCTGGTGTTCCTGGGCTTGCTTTGTCGTGTGCATCTCTGCAAAATGCACGGGGCTCTGTTTCTGTGGCATCGCTCTAGCAGCCTGGTCTGGGCTAGAGGCAATGGAGAGCCCGAATTTAGCAGCTCTAGTTGCTTATATTTCAGTGGCCTCTTTGCTCCCAGAGTGCCCTCATTCTTCCTCGCCCCCCACGAGCCTTCAGAGTTTGCAAAGTGACTCGGTTTCCCTGGGTGAGACGCGCTGAATGCTTTCAACCGAGTCATCTGAAACAGCCTGTGTGAACTCGCTGATGAATTAGGGGCTACGCAGCCTTGCTTTCCGGGAGACGGGAGCTGTCGGTCAGGCTTGCGCAGCGCCCCGGGCAGCTGGGCTACGGCAGGACCCGTCGTGGCCGGGTTGGAGCAACCTGCTCGCCGCTCGGGGGTGCTGGGCCCAGCCTCGTGTTTGCAGGTGTGAAAATGAAGCAACTTTTTTGAGGTTGCCAACTTAAAATAATCAGGCAGTGACGTCCTCTGACTTGCGTGGGTGCTGGGAGCGTCTCGTGTAAGCTGAGCAGTGGGTAGGGGTCTTTTCGAAGCGTCACTAATGGCTTGGGTACGGTTGGCAGCCACGTCGGTCCTGGGAATATGTGAGAAGCAAGGGGGCTTCGGGAGTGATATCTGTCTTTTATTGGACCGACTGAATGCCTTTCCTCAGTGACCTGGAGGCGGTGGGTGCCTGAAAGCTCGTCTAGTCTTTCCTGGCTACAGAGAGCCAGGGTAGGATTAGAAATTCAAAATAGCAAGGGTAAAAAAAAAAAATGCATGAGTGGCTTGTGTGCGTTTGCAAAGACTGAAATGATGTGCAATTGCAGCTGTCGGGACCTTCTCGAGGGCAGTCCCCAGGTTGTCCCATCCTCTTCCTCCCTTTCCAGAGAGGCCTGCAGGGAGATGGCAGAGGTTTCAAGAGCCCGAGTCTGCCGCTGCGGTCTTTGCTAGTCCATTCATCAGCCGCTGGCTGCGATGCCGTTGTCTCCTGGTCTAGTATTTCAGCCTGAAGACTTGGTTGTCTTCATAGAGCATATAAGAATTGTATATTAAGAATACATAAGAGCATAAGACCTGCCTGCTGTGGACCGGGTCAGACCCTCGCTCCGTCTCCTGTATTGCATTGCAGCAGAGAGCGGAGGCTGGGAGGGAGGGCGAGCTGGGTCTGATCACGGGGTTTTCCCCGCTCCTCTCTCACTTGCGGTCTCCAGCATTGAAGCTCTAGGAAGGTCCGATTCGGAGGTTGTGGCCCTTGCTCCTGTTGGCAGTTGCGCATTTGGGAGATGGGGGGAAAGCCAGCTCCTTCTCCACTACGTCCCCCTGTAGTGATCGTGTTCAGGCCGTGCGGGCATGGGACCTGGGCTGCATGGGTGAGGCCTGACACGAACCTTGGGAGTCCAGGGCTCCCTCTTTCTCCCTCCCTCATGTGAAGAAGAGGTGTTTTGGGGGAGCCCAGGGACCCAGGTGACTCTCTCTTTCCACATCCATGCTCTGCCACGGGAGACTGGGCAAGACGGATCTAGGTCTGACCCTGTCCGTGGCAGCTCTCGCGTCCACACATGTTGCAAAGGCAGCTCCGTGCACACGTGCATCTGATCTGCAGCATTATGAGCGTGGATGTCACAGCTGCTAGCTCCCTTGGCCTGCAGATCGGGACCTCTCGCCAGTAGCGCAGAGCTGCGGGGGGGTTGGGGTCGCCTTCGAAGAAGACCCGCAGAGAAATGCGATATTCAGAGGAATCCCCTGAACGAGGTCAAACCTGCTCCGATTCCTCCAAAGGACTCGTGAACTCTTGGACCGCCAAGTTGACGGTCTTCAGAGCTCCCCTTCGTGTAAAGCAATAGCTGAAAAGGAAGACAAGCACCAAATTGGAGCACGGGTGAACCGAGAGACAGCCAGGCAATTAGGGTCTTGTGGCTTGGATAAATGAGCAAGGCTCCCAACTCCACGTGGCACCTAGGCTTTGTGGCTCACCTATAAACAGCACCAACCTTGCATTGGTCAAATTATCTCAGGCTCTTTGATTTAAGAGGGGGCCGATGGGACTGCTGAGCTGGAGCCAACACCGCTCAGGGCTTTTTTTTTAACACAGACCCCAGCTCATTTGAGTCGAAGCACTCGGGCTTTTCGGGGGGTTTCCCCTCTCTTCATCACAACTATAAAACGTGCAGATTAGATCTGGGGGCCGTGTGTCCAGGTCTTATTTGCACCACTGAGTTGCTGGGATGGGAAAACTTTCCTTGCACTTGTGCTCAGGCTTGAGTAGAGAGCGTGCGCTTGTTTTCTTTCAGTGGGCTCCTTGTGTCGTGCGAGGGCCGGCAGGGCTGGGGGCAGCGGGTCGGGAGCGGGGGGCACCGGTTGCATGGCAGGGCAGCATTGCGAATGATTTCTCCTTGCCGCGGGAAGCCCCCCTAGCAGTGCTCAGCGCTGCCCCGCAGCCTTCGCGTGCTTGTTGCTTGTCCGCGCTTGCCGGTCCCTGCCGCTCACTGCTGTCGTCTTGTCCTTTTGCAGACGGAAATCGCGAAAAGGCTGAACACGATCCTGGCTCAGATCATGCCGTTCCTGTCGCAAGAGGTGAGAGCGCCTTCGTGCTGCGGGCGAGGGGAGGGGGCTTCATCCTGTCTGCGTGCGTGGCCTGTGGATGCGGAGGGCAGCGCCCTGGGAAGGCGGCGCGGGCAGCGCTGGCCTATGCCGGCTGGATGGTGCATGGCTGAGACCGGGGTCAGATGCAGCCTGGCGGACAAGTGGAAATGGTCTCAGGCTGGGGGAGCCGTTGGCGTGTTGCATGGCGGGGAGTCTCGGGCAGGTATTGCAGCACCTGGGGTGCCACGAGATCCTTCTAAGGGTGCCACAGGGAGGTGGGCAAACCCACCCCAGAGGCACAGGATACACCCAGAGGGTTCAAGAACGAACCCAGAGTGTCACAAACGGCTTGCCCTGCTGCGGGCCCTGAGTTTTTTGCAGTGAGAGAATTGCTCTAGGATTTTTCTGGGTCAAAAACCAAGTTGAGGTCCTCAGAGGTGGCATTTTCCAAGGGGGCTTGGAGCCTATAAATCGATGGATTTCAACCTTTTCAGACTCTGAGGACCCCCTCAGAAAACACCGGCTCTTTGTTTTCACTTGTTTTTTGACTAGATATGAATACTAGAGCTGTTCTTCTGGTGCAAAGGCCTCAGCAAGCCCACAGCAGCTGGAAATACTTTTCATAGAGTCAGAAAACAAGGGCTGGAAGGGACCTCGGGAGGTCGCATCTAGTCCGACCCCCTGCTCCAAGCAGGACCAGCCCCAACTACATCATCCCAGCCAGGGCTCTGTCTAGACAGGTCTTGAAAACCTCCAAGGATGGAGACTGGACGGTCACCTTGCAGGGGTCATCTGGCTCCCAGTTGTCTTCCCTGCCTGGTGCAGAGGGGCTGGACCCGATGATCCCCCGAGGACCCTTCCAGCCCCTTGCAATCTATGAACAAGGATGGAGACTCCTTAGCCTCTCTGGGGAGCCTGGTCCAGTGCTTTACTACCCTCCTTGTGAGAGGTTTTTTTCCTAATATCCAGCCTGCTGCAGCTTGCACCCATTGCTTTTGTTCTGCCCCCACGGAGACCAGCCCAGCTCCGTCCTCTTTGCAGCCCCCCTGCAGGGAGGTGAAGACTGCTATTCAATCCCCCTCGGTCTTCTCTTCTGCAGACTCAATCAGCCCCATTCCTTCCACCTCTCCTCAAATCATATGACCCAGCCCCAAAATCCTTTCCACTTTAACACTCTGGAGTCGTATTTGACACTGCTGGGTTTATCTTTGCGCCCACCCGATAGTGCTAGCTGTGCACCCCCTGAAAGGATCCCGAGACACCCCAGGGTGCTGCAGCAGCCAGGCTGGAAACCGCTGCCCGCTGGCGGGACTGGACATCCCTGCTCGGCAGAGACGGGCATAGCGAGGCCCCGCCAGGCACGGTGGCAGACGTGCAAGGGAGCTGGGCTTGCACCCAGTGCTCACACCCTGCTCTGCGCTGGGTTGACCCAGTCCTGTGCTGCTGATAGCAGAGGGGCCCAGGCCTTGCATATGTGCAGCCTGGTCCTGGTCCTGCTCCCCTCCCTGCCTGGCCAGGGCTGTCCAGATGCAGCGGGTCCTGCCCAGAGCTGCTTTTCACTGTAATGGGGCTTGGTCCTTGTCCCCAGCACCAACAGCAGGTGGCCCAGGCTGTTGAGCGCGCCAAGCAGGTGACGATGACCGAGCTGAATGCTATCATCGGGGTACGTGGACTTCCCAATCTGCCTCTCACCGTGTGTATACCCCTTTTATTCCTATCATTTACCATGGCCAGAGGCAACCCTGCACTTAGGTGGTTTGGAAGAAGAGCAGCTAGCATGAGGCCTCCCTTTTGGGGCTCGTAGTCACTGCCCAAGGGCTCCAGGCTACCCCCGGCCATGCGTGGTCGGAGGCAGGGAGGGCATCTCTCTGAGCCGGGTTGGCGAGGGCCCTGATCCTGCATGCATCGTGCTCAGCCTTGCTGCTGATAGCAGAGCTGGGCTCCGGCAGCGCAGGGGGCGGAGAAACCGTTCTCATCACTGCCAAAGAGCTGAGCCACGGGGAGGGGGAAGCACGGGGTGACGCCGTATCCCACCCCCCTCAAATATGAGCGCTCGGCTCTGCAAGTCGGGTAAAAGGGGCGAGGTGGGGACCCCTAAATGACGATGGGGAGGGGGTCTATCTAGCAGGCATGGTGACGGGAGCCCTTCTTCCAGCTGCCTGAGAGCAGGGCCGTCTCTGTTTGTATTGTTGCCGTGATGTGCTGTGGCCTGGGTGGAGTCGGTGATCCATGCATCGAGTTGCTCGCGCAAACCTTACGGCCCCTTTTAATGACGCACGCCCGAGTCTTTAAAAGACGAGCGGTCTTCTCGCCGTGACCGAGCGACGTCACGTGGCGCGCTGGATGCAAGCTCTCCTTGGGGTGAAGTCCCAGAATAGGCCTGGGGAGGGTACTGTATTTCCTCATATACAACACGCCCTGGAGTAAAATGCTATCCGTGTTTCTGAATGAGGGGAAAACTAAAGGTCGCTCCTTGTATTTAGTTGCTGAGCTGCAGCAGCGAGGGAGCTGAGTCTGCTCGCCCTGTCCGCCTCTCTTGTGGCAGAAACGGCTCTTACCGTATTATTTGACATATCAGGCGCAGTCCCATTTCCGGCAGCTATTTTTGCACAACAGGTGTGTGTTGTACGTGGGGGAATATACAGCATTACTGATTCCGAATCCCAGCGGGACACGGAAGAGCTCAGTAGCGCGCCCCGTCCTGTTTGCACAGAGAGCAATGGTGAAGCAAGGCCAAGCCGGGCTCCTCCTCGCTTCCTTCCCAAACAACCTATGTCACCGTTGTCCCGTGACCTGTTCCCAGCCTGGTGTGAATGCGTGTGCATGCGTGGGTGTGCTCTTTGTCGTGGTTATCTGGCGCTTTGGGGGAATGAGTGGAGGTTCCCGGTGCCTTCTCGAGTCGATGAAAGTTGTGGGCTGAAGCTACATGCGCTGGGGGTGCGGTGGCCAGACGGCACTGTGCCGGCTCCCTGAAAGTTGCTGCATGTGTGCATGAAAATGTGGGGGGAGAGGAAAGGGGTTGCTTTGAGCTGCTTCTCTGTCCTGTCTAGGGGGCACCGGGCCGGGCAAGGTGGGTTTGGATGCCCCCCGGACGAGCGGTGCGTGTCCAGCCTCTTGCAGATCCTCTGTGCAATGGAGCCCTTGGTGGTTGGGGTCTAGCGCTGGCAGCGATTGGACGACTAGAAATGTAACACGAGCGGTGAACCGCGAAATCGGGGAACAAAGGCACGGAGCGCCGTGTGCATAATCCGATTAAAAGCCCTTGGCCTCTGCCACCGGCCTCGCTGGGCTCCCCAGTGTCGGGGAAGCTCTCCCGCCCTGCACGACCCCAGGCATCCCTGCGGTGCAGCGTCCGTGGGTCTGGGCATCTCCAGCAAGCTCGGCCCTTGGTTCGGGGAACACGGCATGGCTGCAAGAGCCAGCACGGCCCGCGTGCGCCAAGCCAAGGGGCTGAGCACCCTTTGCTCAGCTTCATTGCTGGTTCCCGGGGTGGTCGAGCAGGCGTGAGAGGTCTGGGGTTGGGAGAGAAGCTGCTGAGCCCTGCTGTAGCTGCATTGGCTCCCACTTGGGGCTGCTTGGACTTTTTGGCCACTTTAGGTCAAAATGCAGGGCTGTGAATGTCGCCGTTGACGGCTGGTGGTTTTGCACAAGCTGAGTTGGACCTAAAGGCTTTCCCGGGCCGGGGAATTTACCCATCGCTAGGCAAACCGTTCCCACTGCAATAGCTGATGGCATGGCGCTGAGGGTATGGGGTGACCCACCGCAGCGCGGGGGCAATGACCAGCCATGCAGTGGGGCAGGGTGGGGGTCTCACGTGTGCTTCCCCAGGGTCTAGGGGAGTTGGGATCCCATGGAAATAAGGGCCGAGCCGACACAGGACAGCACTAGGAGAGGAGAGCAAGAAGCACATCAAGTGGAAATCAGCCCGAGGATTGTGTAGCGATGCGGGGAGATGATGGGACCTGCAGCCAGGCGAGCTGTGGGGCCGCCCTGGACTCTGTGCCCCATCCTGCTGCCCCCCCTGGCCAAGCTGGGGGGGTCAGTGTTGGTATTTTAAGCCCAGGCATCACTGCCAAGAGAGGTTTAATACCCTAGTGCCTGGCTCCTGTGCCCATCTCCACCCCTCGCAAGCCGTCCCCACCACGGCAGGGTGATGGCTCCTGGCCTGGCTTCCAGATGGAGGCCACCCCCCGGCACGTGGCTTGCCCCGTGCAGACGGAAGTAGGCGTTTGCACAAGCACGGCAGCAGAGGCGAGGGGTTAGAGCAGCAACCGCAGCCCCCGTGCACCCGGGCCCTCAGCTGCAGCCGTGGGTGTGAGCTGTGGCCCCCGCCCCTCGCACCTCCTCCAGGTGCTAGTTTCAGAGCAGGCAGAGGCTAACCCCAAGCTGCCGGAGGAGGCAGCCCTGCAAAGTAGCCCCACGTGTCCAGGCAGTGCCTGGCTAAAGTTATCCATGTGAAAACGCCCTTCCTATTGCTCCGCTGCTCGAAACCCCGGGCTCGTGCCGTCCCCGGGGGGAGCGTGAAGCACGATGAGACTGCACGCCTGGGAGCTGGTCTCTCTGCTTCCCTGGGGCGGAGGTTTCTAGGCAAGAAGTTGGCTGCATGAGCCAGGTGGATCTGGGTTCAGGGGGTGGCTGGAGGTGCTGGGATCGCTGCCTGCTGGCTGGGCCCCGGGGAGCTCGCATCTACCCAGCCCCCTGCCCGAGGCAGGGTCAAGCGTGTCTTATCCAAGTGCGTATCCAGACTGTGCAGGGCTCCCTGGGGGGCTCTGGGTGGGATGGGCAGGCTCCAACCCCCCACTGCTTGCCCCGCACACGTGTGGTCCCAACACGCAGGGATCAAGGGGCAGGCTCCAACCCCCCACTGCTTGCCCCACGCACGTGTGGTCCCAACATGCAGGGATCAGGCCGGAGGGGAGTCTGGGGGCTTGGTTGGTTTGGGTGAGGATTTCTGCTTCCTCCTTCCTTGTTTGCATGCCTGAAGCATCTGCACACTGCGAAGGGTGACACCTGTCCTAGAGCTCGGGTTTTCTTGTATGTAGGAATTGCAGGAGGACGGCAAAAGGGAAGGAGTTGGGGCTGTTGCACAGCCCCGGGGGCTGCTGGAGATGCAGGGCATCCTGCCATCTCCGCTGGGTGCTCACGTCCCCATTCACCCTGGCCCTAGGAGGGGCTCTGTGTGTGCAGCCGCGTGGCAGGATGGCATCCCTCTGCCCCCGTGCACCCTGGCTGCCCCGGGGCGGGGGGACCCTCGCGTCCAGACCTGGCAGCGTGGAGCTGTCGGTGCTGAATCCCAGCTCTTGTGTGTGCTGTGAGCCCCCCCTGAGCTGGAAGCAAGGGCAGGGCCAGACCTGGGGGAGCGCTGGTGGGCTCCACAGGCTGCCGGGGGGTCCCTGGGATCGGACAGGCTTCCAGCACATCCAAATGACCACATCCAGGATCCAAGGAGACTGCTGGCTGTGTGGTTTTCCCCACCCTTTGCATGGCAGCGCCAACACCGGCTGTGCACCGAGATCCCCTGGAAAGCCCCAGAGCAGGGACTTGGCCATGCACTGGCTGGGACTCGGCACCAGCTCCTTGCTGCTCGCGTGCATTTGCAACGGGGGCGAGGGCCCTGTTTTTTTTCTCCCAGAGCAGGGACTTGGCCATGCACTGGCTGGGACTCGGCACCAGCTCCTTGCTGCTCGCGTGCGTTTGCAACAGGGGGGCGAGGGCCCTGTTTTTTCTCGGCCCCCACCCTCCTTTCTTGCCCTGATTTCTTCTTTCTCCAGCCGGCCACGGGCAAACCGGTCCGTGTCGGGGCCAGCTGGGCCAGGCAGCTTCCAAAGCGCCCTGGGGGGGAGCAGGGACGGTGCTCAGATCCAATTACTGGCCTGGCCGGCGCCGCCCGTGGCTTGCGTCCATGCTCGTTACGGGCAAGCTGCGGGCAGTAAACACGTCAGCTCATCGCGTCTCACTTGTTAGCAGCCGGGGTTAGCATGTGCCGCTCTTCTGCGGAGGGGACAGGACGCCCTGATCTGCCGGCAGCCCCGTTCCCTCCTCTGCGGGCTTGGGATGTGCCGTGGCAGCGAGCCTGTCTGCATGCCTGAGCCCTCATGCCCTGCCCCGCTGCTGATGCACCCGGGGACAGCTGTCTCGGCCTTCCCAGCATGCATGCTTAATCCAGCTCTGCCCACGGATGCTGGCAGGGCCAGCCCAGGCACCCCGGATGCTGGCAGGGCCAGCCAGTGCCCGCAGCACCGAGGCAGGCTGCAGCGTGGCTCTGTCCCTGCTTTAAAGCCTGCCCTGTCCCGGGTGCAAGGAGCTGTAGCAGGGCCGTGGCGCCCCCGTCTCCCGCATCCTGGAGCCTGCCCTGCAGCCAGCAAAGAGGTCTCCCATCCCAGACACCCACCTCCCCGTGGTCCAAACGCTTGCCAGCCACGTTACCCAGCTGTGCCGCAAAGCCCGGGCCAGCTCTGGGCAGGATGCAGGGCTTGCAGAGCTTGGCCACTGGCATCTGGCTCCCAGGGGGATGGGCTGGGTCCTGCTGGCTTTGTGGAGCGGAGGGTGGCTCAGCGCTCGAAACAGCAGCGTGCACGCGTGTGTTTGTGTGTGCATGGCGTTATGAATGTCGGGCACCTCCCCAGCCATGCTCGTCCACCTGGCGTGCCCCAGACCGTGTCTTTCAAGGAGGGGGCCCGGCCGGCCGGGTGGGCACAGGACGGGGCCGCCTGGCTCTGGGTCCCGGGCTTGCCACGGGGGGAGCCTTGCAGCGTGCGCTCCCTCCCTGAGCCCCAGAGCTGCTGCCGACGCGCGGGACTCGCTAACGCCCCTTCTCCTTTCAGGCCGCGGGGCCCGGCGCGGCGACCCCGCGTCACCCCTTTTGTTTCCGGCGCGGCGCAAGCCCGGCCGTCCCCGCGGCCTGGCGCTCCCCTTCCCGCCGCCCACCTTACCGCTGGTTGTATTGCAGCAACAGCAGCTCCAGGCACAGCACCTCTCTCACGCCGCTCACGGGCCCCCGGTCCAGCTGCCGCCTCACCCCTCCGGCCTGCAGCCGCCAGGGATCCCCCCCGTCTCCGGGAGCAGCTCGGGGCTGCTGGCGCTCGGCGCTCTCGGCAGCCAGGCGCACTTGACCGTCAAAGACGAGAAGAACCATCACGACCTCGATCACAGAGGTGAGACCCGAGCCCCCACCGCTCCTCGGGGCTGCCCCCTGCTCCCTTCTGCCCTCGCCGGGGCATTTGTACCTCCTCTTGGAGGGAGCTCCACGATGCAGGCCTCTAGCCTGGGCCCTGACGGGACCCCATGCCCTGATCCTGCCTCAGCCTGCTGCAATGTGGGTAGGGCGTGGGGGGTCCTTGGAACTGCTCCCCGTCCCCGCGGCTAAGCCTGGCGGGACTAAACCAGCAAGAGAGGCCGCGGTGTAAAACCCCTTCTCCATGTTGCGCGTATTATGCAATTCGCTGGTTAATTGCTCAGTTAATTTAGACCGGCTATACGTGCAAAGTTACTGCCACGCCATAAACGGGTCCGACCAGCTCTGAAGTTTGAATCATAGACAAGGAGGGCTGGAAGGGAGTTCGGGAGGTCGCATCCAGTCCAACCCCTTGCTCAAAGCATGACCAGCCCCAGCTACAATGCATTGGACTCCAGATGTGGCCTCCCCAGTGCCGAACAAAGGGGAAGAATCACGTCCCACAATATGCTGGCAGTGCTCCTACTAATGCTGCCCAGGGATGCCATTAACCTAGGTCGCATCCAGTCCAACCCCTTGCTCAAAGCATGACCAGCCCCAGCTACATCATCCCAGATGAGGCTTTGTGTAGATGGGTCTTTAAAACCTCCAAGGATGGAGACTGCACCACCTGTCTGGGTAGCCTGTCCCAGTGCTTCACCACCCTCCTTGTGAGTGTTTCCCCTAATATCCAACCTCAGCTTCCTTCCCAACATCCTTTCTGCAGTGGGGGCCCACAACTGGATACAGGACTCCAGATGTGGCCTCCCCAGTGCCGAACAAAGGGGAAGAATCACGTCCCACAATATGCTGGCAGTGCTCCTACTAATGCTGCCCAGGGATGCCATTAACCTGGAAAATTAAAAAAGAGTTAGAGCTGGAAAACGTGCAGTGACTTTATAGCTTTTTTCGCTCCAGCTTTAATTCACAGGTGTAGCAGGGTGTGAAGAGGCAGATGCTGGAGAACACACCCCACAATAAATGGGGGCTTTTTAAATGTTTCCTACCCTGTGGGGGCCCAGGAGTGGGAAGATGACTGGGGGTTGAATAGTAGAGAGGGTGAGAGCAGCCCGGGCTGTCTTCTCCCACGGGTCCCCCGGGCAAGGGGCTGGGTTGGGGACGGTGGGGATGGCGCAGGGCAGGCATAGCCAAGGGGCAAGTGAAATACCAGCCTGAGGCGGGGTGGGGAATCGGAGCAGGGTTCAGTTTTACAGGGTGCCTGATACGGTAAAGGGACAAGGGAGGGTATTGCATGTCCAGGCCTTTCCCCATGGCTCGCTTGTGTCAAGTGCCGTGGGCTTGGACAGCGCCACCGTGCAGGCTCCACTTCCCTTGCAAAAGCCCCTTCATGGGGCCGTGCACCGTGGCGGGGAGAAGCCAGACACGACATGGTGGGGTTGGCCATAGATGTGGCAAGTTAGGACTGCCAGAGCTGAGTGGTCCAGACAGCCCCCTCTTTCACTGTCAGAAATCGGCCAGGTGCGGGAGGCAGGGTAGAGATGCACCTTATAGAGATGCATAAGCTTTTGCGAGCTTGCGCTCACTTCATCCGATGCTGCACGTGCGCCGAAGCCAGCGACGCTCCCTGCCAGCATCCTTGGTTTCCAATGGCTATAAGAAATAAGAGGAAGGAAAACTTGTGCTGCTTCCATACACAGTGGTTGCCTTCATGTTTCCAGACCCTGAATTTCATTTCCCCCCCCTTGACCTTCCAGCTTCTCAAGCAACCTAGGCAATCCCATGGTTGTGCCCTCCCTCAGCGAGATGGTTGCAAGCCCTTACCAAATTGCATTTCATTTCTTCTTTTTGGGTTTCAATTGCCAGCGATCCAAGGGAAAACAGGCCCGTTTAGGTAGAAATGAATAACGAAACCGCCAGCCTGACCGCATCCCCTCCGTGTAGCAAAGCAGGTCTTTGTAGTCCCACAAAGAAGGGCGGCCGGGACGGTCAATAACTTCTCCCGGATTTATGGCTCGGCTCGGAGCGTGTGAATACTTTAGGTGCCTGCCATTTCCTTTTGTATTGCAGCGCGTTTCCCCTGTTCGCTGTTTATTTTGCCATCTAATTCCCTTTGACAACAAGGGGGGGGTAGGCAGCAGGACAAGGGAAATTAATTTTAAAACGAAGATGAAAAGCACCAGCTCGGCTTTGATTGAGCGAAGCCAGACGTCCCTACGTGACGGGGAGCGGCGAGGTTGGTTTTCTATTTTTAAGACTTATTTGAACGTGTTTTATTTTTCTGTCTTCTCTTTCTCTTGGCTGTGACCCTGCCTCTCACCCGGGCCCTGTTCCCAAAAGAGCGCGACTCCAGCGCAGTAAGTACCAGTGTATGATTTTATTTTTTTGTGTCATTTTGGGTTGTTTTTTTTTTTTTTTTTTTTATTTTAATCTCGGCGTCTGATCTCTGTGCTCTTTTCCTTTATCTATTGTTTTTCAGCACAGGCTTCCAGGTTCAGTCTCCTAAATGATCTCGGCTGGACAAACTGTTTAAACAAAACAAAAAAAAGGGGGAGGAGGGTGGGAAGAAAAGCAAAGCCAGCTGGTGCGGGTGGGTGGGTGTGTTAGTGCAAGCAGCGTGTGTGTGTGTGTTTGTGCGTGTGCATGGGTTTGGTGGCACAAAACACAAACACGCGTGTTTCTGCCGGTGGCTGCGCTCTCCGCAAGCTCGGTTTTAAATCTTTTTTTGATGGCAGCTGAGTTGAAGATTCGGTTTCAATTGACTAAGCGTGGTGAATGAGCGCAGTCAAGTCTGGAGGGATAAAAATCCTTGCAGCGATTAAGAAAGCTATTTTATTCCTGATCACTGTTCTATTATCTTGGGTCATCTAATCTGTCGGGATGGCTTTGCCTATTACATTGTGTTAAGTAGGACTTGGAAGGTCAAGCAGTTAACTAACCATCTAAATAGCAATGGTGGGGCCAATTGTTGCCTCCAGCAGTGCTTTTCCTCTCCCCACCCCCAGACAACTATGCATTAATGGCCATGTTTAGTCCTCATTGCATCTTAAAGATGCAATCTGGCGCTGAGCAAAAGGGAGGAAAAAAACCAACCCCTTGTAAGTGTAAAGGGAAGATTTTTGCAGGGCAGAGGCTGAGAGCTCACCCCTTTATTTATTTTAAAAAGCCTCCATCTTCCCAAGCCAGCATCCCTTGCATCCTACCAGCTTCAACCATCTCCCTTCCCCCCGCCACCCTGCTTTTTGGGCCGTAGCCCAAGGTACACAATGCTTTCTGTTTAAAAGAAAAGCTGGCAGGACAAAAAACAGTTGAGTCTTCACTTTGCAGTGATTTCCTGTCATCCGTGTAGAGCCGACTTTCACAGCGCAGAGGCCACAAATGGGCCTTTTGAGAGTCAAATGCAGATGGAAATAAAAGTGCCATTTAAAAGGGGGGTGGCGGGAGGGAGAGGAGGGTTGTCCATCATTAACCTGCTTGTTAGGATCCTCGAGAGCAGTAAAGTGGGGTGGGTTTCTACATGAGAGAAACGTTTCCTATATATATATATGTATAATATATATGTGTGTGTGTTTTAAAAAAAAAAAAAAATCCCCACCGGGGATTTAATGCGCACGATAATCAGAGCCGAGATTCATTCATATTTTCCTGGCCTAGCCTGAGCAATAAAAAATATTTAGTCTCTTGGCTGCATGCCAGGCGGAGGCTGAATGGATCGATGGCTCTAAATGCTTGACATGATTCTCGGGTAGCTGCAAGGTTTTTCAGCATGACTGCCTGAGAAGAAAGGCCCCGGTGTTATCCAAAGCTGCTTATTGGGTACGGAGGAGAAACATGAACTGCTTTAGTTCTCCTTTTCAAGCAAAAAAGAAAGGGAAGCAGAGGAGCTTAGAAACATTTCTGCTTAGCATGGGGTGGCAGGCACTCTCGACGGCGAGGGACGGCGGCTGTTGCTGCCGCCGCCGGTAGGAGCTAATTGAATTGCCTCCGCATCGGAGCGGCCTTGTTCTGCAGGGCCAGGGCCGCGGCCGAGCCGCGCAGGGTTCGAAACTTCCAGCTTCGCGCTGCCATTTAGCTCCGGGCTCAGACTTGGAAGACCGAGCAGATGGGCTGGTTGCAGGGCTTTGCGGTGACCTGTAGCTCCCCGGGGACGTGAGCTTCGTGGCATTGCAATGGCCCAGAGCTGCGGCCACAGTTCGATGGCATGGCGAGAATGCAGTTCCTATGTGTACTCTTGGGAGCACGTCTGGGATGAGATCCTGGCTCTGCAGGGCCCAGGAGAGGCTTCCCCAGGGTCAGGGTTTCCACCATTGGTTTTGGCAAGGCACTGGCCTTTATCGGCCCTTTTACATGTACTGGGGGAGAGGCTTTGCGTGCTTGAGTCATGTTACTTCCATGCTCCCGTGTGCAAGGAGGCAGGGACATGGATACAAGCTAGTTGGGGCGAATGGATCGGTGGCTGCAGCTCCTTGGATAAATGTTATATAATTCCCATCCTCCCTGAAGGTTTTTCAAAGGAGAATTTTTTAAATGCTCCCTCCCTGTTTTCAAATGCCTTACCCTGAGACTGGCTGAGGACTTGGTGATGCCCCCAGGGTCCTCCCCCATGCAGCAGATCACAGCCCGAGATGGCTCAGAGCTTGAGATGACCATCACTGAGACCAGCCCAACTCCATCCTATTTCGAACCCCACTGCAGGGAGGTGAAGGCTGCTATTCAATCCCCCTCGGTCTTCTCTTCGGAAGACTAAATCAGCCCATTTTCTTCAACCTCTCCTCACCAGTCCTGTCCCCCAGCCCACAACCATTTTCATTGCCCTTCACTGGACTCTCTCCAATGTGTCCACATCCTTCTATAGTGGGGGGGGCCCACAGCTGGACACAGGACTCCAGATGTGGCCTCCCCACTGCTAATAGAGAGGAAGCATCACTGCCCTCCATCTGCGGGCAACGCTTTTACCAATGCAGCCCAGGATGCCCTTAGCCTTCGTAATAAACCACACAGTAAATGTTTCCCAAGTTGGAGAGGGCCGAGGTGGGGGGAATCGTGACGAGTCGGAGAGAGGTTGCAGCCGCTGTTTCTGAAAGCTGCTGCCTGTGATGTCTGGCCAGCAGAAGCCAGTTCCTCAGGGTTGCTTTTCCCCTCCTTCCCCGTGTTGTTTCAGAATAACTCTGTCTCGCCGTCGGACAGCTTGAGAGCCAGCGAGAAGCACCGGAGCTCCACGGACTACAGCATTGACTCCAAGAAGCGGAAAGCCGAGGAGAAGGACAGCATGAGCCGATACGTGAGTCGTGAGCACGTGCCCCCTTGCCCGAAAACCAGGGGTCCCGCCCGCCCCTTGCAGCACCAGCTTACTAATGGTCTTACTATTGGCAGAAAGTCCCCAAACCCCTTGGGCCCTAACTTGACTCCAGGTGGGGCGGCTGAGAGCTGTTTTCCCCGCCGGGGAATAGGGTACAGCCGGCGCCTCTCATAGCATCACTCCTTGCTCTGCATTTCAGGACAGCGACGGCGACAAGAGCGATGACCTGGTGGTGGACGTCTCTAACGAGGTGAGCCCGGCCGTGTGGGGATGCTGTGCCCGTGGGCAGCGCCAGCTGGGCCAGGGTGGAAAGAAACCCCTATCTGCGCACTGCGTCTTTTCCTGGCCTCTCTCCCAGGATTGGGGCCAGTTAGCCCGTGCTGCTGGCAGTGCTGAGACCCCTTCTTCCCCCAGCTCAGCTCAGCTCCCCTTTGAGACCAGGCTCACCGCCTTCTCCCTCTCTTTCAGGATCCCGCCACGCCGCGCGTCAGCCCAGCCCACACCCCCCCGGAGAACGGGATCGACAAAACCCGGGGGCTGAAGAAAGACGCGCCAAACAGCCCCGCCTCGGTGGCTTCCTCCAGTAGCACCCCCTCGTCCAAGACGAAAGACCTGGGCCACGTAGGTGGCGTGCGGCGGGAAGGGACACGGGTGGCGCCCGGGGTTTGCTGCGGGCGGAGACCCCCGTCTTGCTTTCCCGGGGGGTGACGAGGCCTCGGAGAAGCCTCGCTGCCCTGCCGGTCTCATCCTCCCCGTTTCCTTCCCCTTCCCAGCACGACAAGTCGTCGACGCCGGGGCTC